GTAGAAGACAAACCCAGGTGTTGTCTCTAATGAGCTGTCCATCTTGGTCTCTTCCTGGGGACCTGGACCTCACCAGTTAGGCTAAGGCTAGTCTGGCTGGTCAGTGAGCTCTGGGCATCTACTTGTCCAGCACTGGGATTAGAGGCTTACCTGGGTGCTGGGAATTGAATTCAGGTTTTCATGCTTATGTAAGTGCTTTACAAACAGAGATATCTTCCCAATCCCTGGAATTTGCTATTGTTAAAAGCTGATGGAGTGAGAACCATGTTGGCAAAAAAGACTGAGCTTCATGATAGGACAACATTTGATGGCTAATCTTGCTTGTCAGCCTGACACACCTAGGAAGAGGAATCCTCAACTGAAGAACTGTCTCCATCAAAGTGACCCACCGACATGTCTGTCGGGCATTTTCTTGATTACTAATTGATGTAGGTGGGCATGGACTGTATAGAAAATGTCACTGAATGTAAGTCTGGGAGCAAGCCGATAAGCAGAGTTCCTCCATCTTTCTGCCTTAGTTATTGCCTTAGTTCCCACCTCCAGGTCCCTGCTTCCAGCTCCAGCCCTGACTGTTCTTGAGGATTGGACTGCAAACTTTAAGCTGAGGTTAACCCTTTCCTTCAAGCTGCTTTGGGGTATGGGGTTTATCACAACAACAGGCAACAACTAGTACAGAATCCACTCTGTTGGTTCATTTGGTGACTGCTCCTCAGGCTCAGAAATGCTTGTTGAATCCACATGCAAAATACCTTGCTTCTGTGGGTCTCATCTCCACCTTTACATTTACTTTAAAATCACTTTGTTAAGGTCTGATTGATGTGAAAAGGCTGTATATTGTTAAATATCTTGAATTTAGGGATAAGTATATACCTATGAAAATCTCATTGGCACTGGACATACATCCAAGAGTTTCTCTCACCTTCTTTGTTATTGTGTGACAAAAACACTGAATTAGATCTACCTTCTTCATAACAGTATGAATATGTATGTAATGCTATGTCAATATGGTATTGTGTGTGGCACATGCTGTGTTCCCTTTGACCAATGCCTCTCCCTTCACCCATGTTGGTAGGAATTGTCCAGATATTCAGATGAAGTGCCTCAGGCTTC